AGGTTTGCGCATTCCATTTCAAGGGCCCCAAACAACGCCCCCTTTCAGCAGGAACATGACGCCCATCTCCCTATTTCCAAGAAATGGAATTAGAGAAACTGACAGTGGGGATTTTGAAGGAGGATTAATAAAATGGCTGCACTTAGGCTAACAGATTGCTTATTCTTATGCTTGCCCTTAAAATGGTCAACTGATCTGACTGACAGTTGCTACTCAGTTCCAGACCCATTGTTAAAACTAAAGTTATTGATCTTACTGTTTCTACTTTATTCCAGTAATCAAAAGCTATAATCATGCTTGGTTTCTGAGTCGATCTCCAGGGAGAAGGTCACAGGACTTTAACCTTACAAAATAGCTAGAATTACCAAGAAAACCACACCTTGGGTGCTTATAAGATAAAGAGAAGGAAAGAGTGACAACTGCTAGCCTCTGTAGAACTGGTCGCCTGCAGGCTTCATGACACCACTCTAAGTCTTCGGATGAACTAAATAGCACAGGAATCTAGTGCAATTACAGTACAGTGGAAAAAAATAACATTAATAGATATGTACGGGGAACCAAAACTCCAAGTTCAACAAAGTACCAAGGAGTTTTATCAGGTCAAATAGTTGTAAATAAAGAGAAGGAGAAAAAAGAAAAGAAAGAGAGATTATACTACTGACTAAAAATGCCTAGGAATGTTCCCTGACCAAAGCTGACCAATTCCATTCTATAATCACCCCCTCATCGCCCCTTATGAGCAGGAAGTAGCCAGAGCAGTCATCGCCCCTTTTCCCACAAGATTGTGGAATGGACATGGATAGTGGGGAGTTGTAGTAGAGAATAACCTTTGTTTTGTTGGAGGTTTACAGGGACACCATGACCTAGCCCACGGGGATGGCTGCAAGAACAAAGAATGCCTGCAGCAAGAAGATCACAACAAGCAACCACACTCCCTACCTTATTTTCCCTCCCCCTCCCTTATTTTTTGTATAAAAGGAGCCTGTATTCTGACTAGAGCAGGATGGTTCTCCAAGACCTCAGTCGGCCATCCTCTCAGTCTTCCGGCTTTCTTCCTTGCCCCAACACCTCGTCTCCGATTTATTGGCTTGTCGTGTGGCGAGCAGAATGAGTTTGGACTCAGCAACAACAGTGATGCATGTACTCCCTGAGTGCATATTTATAAGGATATTGCTTGCCTTGTACTTCCTCCCTTTCCCCTTTCCTACAGGCTGGGATGTGAACATGACAGTGGGAGCAGCGTCACCTGTGCACCTGAGCACAACCCCTGGGACAGGGATGAGACAGCAGCAACAAGATAGAAGGAGTCAGGGCTCCTGTGTGACGGATGGTGTAGAAGCATTTATCCTGACCAGCTGCAGACATGGCCTTTTCCAGAAGAGACCAATAAAATTCTGTTGTACTTGGGCCACTTCATTGTAGGATACTTTTGTTACAACAGAACATTCATTGAATTCTCTTTCTGGATATGATGTGAAAAAAAATTGACTCTGATCTCTTGAAAATCCAGGAATTTGTGCCTACACTGGAAATTATTTCTAGTCAAGTTTATTACTCTGTGTTTTTCTCAAGTAAGAGAAACACAGGAAATTTAAAAACTGGAAGTCACAAACCTGCTGAAAAGTTAATGTGGATCACTGCTTCAGACAATTTCTTAAACAGAAGACATGGCTTCAAATTAGAGGGTGGAAATCTTGTTAAAAAAAAATAGGAATCAGAGAAGGGCAAGGGGTGGTAATGAATTAAATAGGAAGTGGTAGTGTAGCACCAGTGTGAAAAAGGTCAATGTTATTCTCAAATGAACATACCGAGTAGTTTCTTGTAAAGCGGGGAAGTTAATGTTTGAGAAAACAGACTTGTTCAAGGATATCAGAATCTCACTATGATATATTATAGTTCTGCTTAAGAAGACAAAATAAACCTCAGAAGAGGAATATAATTCTGGGCTTAAGAAAACATATTTGCTTTATTCACAATGGATCCATTATACAGTTAGCATATTCAGGCCCATAGAATATGTTTTCATGCTTAAAATAATATTTTTAAATCATACATATAGATATTAATATTGAGTCAGTAAAACCCTGAATTTTAAGGAAAAACAGCATTTAGTTTATATGTGACATCAAAATTATGTACTAACTAGATGTTTACTATATAACCCAATTAATGTGACCAGATATGTGAATGAAATTAAGGATAAAAGATAATTTTAGTATTTTATACTACACAAAGGAAAAATAATAGCATTACATGGAAATAGTTTAAAGTGCTTATTACAAAATCAAGCATATGTTCTCAGAGCAATTTGAATTAAAACCTACCTTAGGGCTTAGAGTTCAGAGAAATCTTTTATGAAGTTACTTGGATATAAAACAAGTCAGGGAGGAAGATGAGGGCTAACAACTTAAAAATCAGCCATTTTACCCAACTGTTCCGCCTTACCCCACTCCCACCACACACACACACAAAACAGAAAGAGAGCATACTCTTTTCCCACATCCATTAGGTTTGCTATTGATTTTTTTTATATGAAATAAGCATTTGTTTAGATGACCTAATGCACAAACACAGGCCAGAAAAATCTCCCCATCTATCCATTCAATCCTCTTGCTGAGAATCTGAACAGGACAACTTCACTCCAATGATCCTACTAAGTTAGATGCTTCGTTAAAATACGTTGCCTCGGATGGAGACCCTGTCTAGTAATACTGTCTGTTTTTTACAAACAATGTACACTCTATACCAGTAAGAGTAGGTATATTCTCCAGGCTCAGAATCTTTCTTGGAAAGTCGTAAGTGGTGACAAAAACTAACGAGGCTGAAGCAGTAATAGTTTCATTTCCCACATGTGCTCTGCTGGAATTGCTACTGCTTTCACAGACACTCCTCTCCTTGCATGGCCATCATTTACTCCTCAAAGTAAATGCAGTGACTTAAATCACACGCTTCACTCACTTCACAGTCAAAATACTGCCCTCCACAGCACTAGAGAATTCTATGGTCTTTGTGCTCGTACACAAACAGTGAACTGATCATATCTGGTAATATGGGAAAACTGAAGCAAGCAGGGTTGAGAACATGGCATTTACAGCATGCGGCACGCAGAGGGCTGCTTGAACATCAGAGAAAACTGGGAGAATTGCGTACTGATTTACTCATTTATAGTTTATCTCACCAGAATATTTCATGGTGTTTGGAGGTAAACCAAGAACACAGGATACATGTGGCACAGTCCAGGTCCTCCCTCTTGGAAGGGCCCAGTGCTAGAACATGACTTCTTTCTAGACATGTTGGCAGGGAAGATTTTTTTCTAATACCTCCTTATTTTTTATCCAGATATTTGTGTACTACATACTTCTGGGATTTTTATTTGTATGTTTCAAATACATGTTTGGAAATGTTTTAAACAGCCTATTAGATTTGGATGGAAACTTGTTACCAAACTAAACCACACTTGGGTCTGCTCTCCCCCACGTGGTAAGGCCAATCTGCTAACACCAGGTTGTGGTGAAGGAAAGCATAAAAGCACAGTGTGTACTGCAGGGCACTGTACAAGGAGTCTGGGACAGCTAGTGCTCAAAACACCCAAACTCCCTGTTGCATTTCAGCAAAGTATTTTAAAGGTCAGGTGAGGGAGAGGAGTTGCAGCGTATGTGATCAGTTGGTGCACAATTCTCTGACTGGTTGATGGTGAGGTAGCAGGGCGGTGTCACAAGGCTGATATTATCAATCCCTAGGCTGGGTCTGGGGGCTACGTACTCATGGTCATCAAGTAGTTAATGTCTTCCATTTGGTGGGAGGGTTTTTGAATCGATAAAGCAACTCAGGATACGTGCATCAGAAACTACTATCTTGATACTTCATCGAGGAGCCAAAGCAGAGGATATGGGGGATGGGTCTGTCCTGGAAGGCCCCATAGAAATCTGCTTGGTTACACTTACAAAGACACAAATATTAACACCAGTATCACACTCAGTCCTTCCTGGTAGTTAGTCTGTGCAATCCTTTTGTGCACACTAATCTGCTTTCCCTTAATGTTTCTGAATACATAGGCCATGAAGCTATTTCTACACTCAGCACAAAATCCAATGACACTGAAAACTTGCAATATTATTTTCCTCCAGGCTGGGTTAGATGCTCCTCAATTCCACAGAACAGCATGCAAACCTCTGTCATAATAGTCCTTCCCAGGGGTTGCAATGATCATTTTACTTCTCAGTCTCCATTACTGAATTGCAGCTTTCTTTTATTTTTCTGATTTCAGGAAATTAGCACAAATGTGTGGCACCTCTGTGTCCTCAACAAATGTTTACTGAATACTTGAATGAACTACTTATTTTAGATATATTAAATTGTGGCTGCTATTGATTCGAGAGCTCATGGTTATTAAATTACTTGCAAAGTCAAGACACAGATCCTACCTCTTAGGCCAAATTTCTTGTCATTTCAAATTATGTCCACTCAGAATCAGTAGCTCTCCCCTTCAACCTCTCCATGCTGTATCAACAGCTATTTATGACTGAGTATTCTGACCAAGTAAAACTTCAGCTGGAGAAGTTAAGTGCATAAAGAGCAACTGCTTAAGAAAACATTTACTTTTTTTTTATCTCTCAGTGATTTTCTACAGCAACTGTTTATAATTCTGCCCTCACTTGCTCTGTCACATCTGTAGGAAACTGTAGGGGGAAAAAAAGGTGCAAAATACATTTTTCAGTTTGGTGAACAGCAGTCTGATTAGACAGCATTGAGGTGCACTTTGGCTCTGTCACAGCAAAGCCTGGGAAATGCCTTGAGAAAATTATTGTTGCAAGGGTCTTAACAAATTAAACACCTGCCAATTTCTCACTCTTTCTCTTTCTGATTCATAAGAAGATTACAGAATACAGAACTTAAAGAGGTTTACTTTTTTCTCCTAAGACTATCTTTTTCCCCAAGGTAGATATTGGCTATTTTTGTATTCAACTGTCAGAAATAACTCTTCTAATAACATTATTCAGCACAGAATGAATTTTAGGATAAAAAATAAATACTGAGATCATTTAGAATAATCCTTCTTTTAGATATATGGCAATTGAGGCCAGAGAAAGGAAGCCATGTACTCATAATCATACTGCTAATTAAGGGATAATATAATTTGAGGTTTCTTTCTTTAAGCCAAAATTTATTTTCACTTAAGTAGCTTCTTTCATAATTTCATAAAAACAGAAATTCTGTATTCTTTAAGAATTTTTATTTGAAAAAATTTGAACTTAGTATTGTGTTCATACTATGTCAATATGAAAATTACAAATATAAATTAGTGGTTCTAACTTAAAGTTGGATAAATAACACATTTTTGATATTTTTCAAAAATGTCAAAAATGAAATACATAGAATTCAATTTATCATTTTGACCTTCGTAATGATTTCTACTTTTGTCATGCAGTCAATTATGATGCACATGCAACTCTACTTGTAATTTTCAAGTTTCATCTGCCCACACACCAAATTCAGTTTTATTTTGCTGGTTATTTCATGTAACGCATTCTTCAGTATAAACTGGAAATTGCTTCCCTTAATCTAAGACAATAAAATCTTTTCATATCAGATTGAATGTTTTGATGCAAACTCAGAGTTCTGTAGAGAGGGTAAACTTAAAAAGTTAGTATCTAGAATTCTATCACAAAATGTACACTACATTTTGCTAATTTAAGCAATGACTTAGTTTACTAGGGCTACCATAACAAAGTATCACAGACTGGGTGGCTCAAACAACAGAAATGCATTCCCTCTTCATGGTTCTAGAGGCTGGAATTTCAAGACCAAGGTATCAGCAGGTTTGGTTTCTTCTGAGGCTGCTTTCCTTGGCTTGCAGATGGCCGCCTTCACCTGTGCCCTCACAGGGTCTTCCCTCTGTGTGCATGCACCCCCAGTATCTCTCTGTGTGTCTAAATTTCCTCTTTTTATAAAGACACTAGTCAGTTTGGATTAGGCCCCACCCTAAAGGCCTCATTTTAATGTAATCACTTCTTTCAATGCTTTGTCTCTAAATACAGTCACATTCTGAGCTAGAGGGTTAGAGTTTCATCACAGTTTTGTAGGGGACACAACTCAGTCCATAACTGGAAGCACATATTTCAAACATACTACAAAATAGGTTCTGCAGTGTTAATGGGCAACAATACTGTGGAAAGCTCTCTGTCTATTCTTGTACAAGTCAAAATCTATGCTTTAATAGTCTCAATAGTGAAATGAAAAGGTGGGGCCAAAAGATTCTTAGGTCCAACTCGCTGAAGTTCAACGATCCATGAAATTTTTAAGTATGTAAAAATTCATTTTGATTTCATACTACCTCTGATATTTTCCATAATGTGAAATAATGAAGTTCCAATTTCTCAAGGTTCCTAGGCTATCTTTTAAAATAAGACTATAACTCTTTCCACTTTGTTGCCTTCAAAGTTTTGCTATCAGGACTGTTAAAAATGCAAAATGAATTTTTAACAGAGCATTGACACTTGCATTGTTAATGTGCCTTCAGGCATGTAATTAGCTGAGAGGTTTAATCTTTTATATTCCAAAGTTTGATCAGAATGCATAAGCTCAGAAAAGCTATAAAGTATTGACCGGTATCTTTGATAAAAAAAAAAAAGAAAGTTCTAAGCAAGCACTTGAAGGTACTTTCTGTAAATGCAAATAGTTCTCAATAACTATTAAATACAATAAGATGATTTTTTTCTCTTTTTATATATCAACTAGAAACAAAATGTCTACTATTTTTTCTGTTTTATAGACTTTTGAGAGATTTTTTTTTTTTGCATGGAAATATTTGAAAAGAGTCATGTGTAACATTGATAAATGAATGATTATTTCATGAATGATTTGTCTTTAACAAAGCATATGACCCATTAAGGAAAATTTTTAAAAAGTCTGCTAGGTGAAGATATAAAATGAAATTATAATGTAGGTTATTTAAATAAATTCATGTTATCTATTTATTTATGCTGAGTAAATACTAACAGATATGTATTTCTGTAGCATTCAATCTCATATTATAATACAATATTTATTTGATATGAGATTAAGAGATGACAGCCATAAAAACTGACAACATAATGCCATTTGCAGCAACATGGATGCTCCTGGAGAATGTCATTCTAAGTGAAGTAAGCCAGAAAGAGAAAGAAAAATACCATATGAGATCGCTCATATGTGGAATATAAAAAACAAAAACAAACAAACAAAAACAAAGCATAAATACAGGACAGAAATAGACTCATGGACAGAGAATACAGATTTGTGG